GCCCCACACTTCGCAACTACAGGAGACAGTGGTCCTACAGCACTCAACCAGAGCAGTCTCGGCACGGGCCAGCAGCAAAGAGCCAACAACATCTACGCCGAGACGACGTTCGTGTGTCCGAGTTATTGGCTCGCAGAAGCGTACTCGGATAACGATTTCGGAAGAGGGAAAGCCTACAAATACCAATACAGCGTCGTCCCCGCCCTCCACGGCTTCGACGTACCGGGCTATTTTGGACCGGTCGGCGCAACGCCCTACTCAGCGTCTTTCAGTCGTGCCTTTCAGCAGATCTGGGGCAACTTCATCATTAACAACAACCCGAGTATTCCGCAGAGTGTCGCTATTGGTACGGTCAATGGTAGTGCTAACGCCACTATTTCAGCGACGTCCAATCCTGCAACCGACTGGCCACCATTTAGTATCTACAATCCGTACCAGATTGATCTAAATCAGACAGGGAGCTCGTTAATTAGCGTGCCCATACCAGCGTATGGGGTTAATGTTACGGAGCAGAGTGGGATTGGAGCAGTGAACAATTTTAGGTTGGTGAATGCGTACACGTGGGAAGGTGGTCGAGGCGTGAGATGTGATTTCTGGAGGAGTATGGGGAGTAAAGTTCCTGAATAGGGCGCTCCGAAACACGTATTGATTGGCATTGGATAGTTTAAGTTAATGAGGCAGAGGTAAAATTGGAAGCAGTTCAAGGCGGTGATTTTGATGGGTTGGTTCCTAACTGATTAAAGCAGCTGCTCTTTTGGACTTCGATAGCTTGCGACGAAAAATGTGAATAGTTTTAAACATTCAGTTGTTGCCATCAAGTCGTAACCATTGTCTCAGTTGCATTGTCCCAGTCGCTTGTGCCGTCCAAGTGTTTGCTCCTCGGATACTGTACACTCACTTAGTGCAGGCCATGTTGTCGTTGAGGAATTAGTTTCAACTATCACCAGCTGCTCCTCCACGACCACACAGTAAGTCGAAAGAGCAGGTAGATGTTGGGTGCCAAACAAGTTTATTGTCTATTCATAAAATGCGGATGGCCCCTTCAAACCCCCATTGAACGATATGGAATATAGTTTGGATAATACAATATTGAGTCCTCTCATCCACCTCAAGTCATTAGAGCAAGGGCAAAGTTTGACATACGCCTACTGATGTACTTGTTCATACTCGACCAAGTCCCGTACAGGAAAGATCGATCGCTAGATTTTAAATGCAACACGATTGAGTCCTACCAAGAACGTCCCTTAGTAGCCCTCCAATCGAGGGTACTGAGTTGTATGTCGTTTATTTTATGTTAACCTGAACTGACACCTATGGTGCTGTGACTAGACCATGTGATTCGGAAGTATTTTCCTTATACGCTTAATTGTGAGAAGACTTGTCCCTTTAGAGACTGTGAGACTGGTTGAACGGTGTCATCTAGATCGACCAGGCGTGCGACTCCTAAACTGGTTGCTCAAATTCGCGCCACAAGTGGCTGCAGCACTGCCACATATTTCATCGTCTGCTTAAGCAAGGGAGAACATCAACGCTGAGACTTCGTTTACTTCGTGCGGCAACTGTTTTTACCTTGACGACACTTTCATATAAACAAAGCTCCTTTGTGTACATGCTGCTCCAGCTGTTGGATATTGACTATCCACCATGAGCCAGCAACCTGCCATCCAAGTGTTGCGACCGACATTCGAGCAACACCACGATGGCTTTGGTATACAGTTCAGCCGTCCTCGAATATCATGGCGGTTCTCATGTACAGATGAAGACGTTCACGACTGGGAACAATGCGCGTACGATATTGAGATTCGGAACACGGACAGTAATATCATTCAATGTGTCCATATTGAGAGCCAAGACTCAGTGCTAGTACCGTGGCCTGAGGGTTGTGCATCTCTCAAGTCTCGTGACCGTAGACAGGTCAGAGTGCGGTGCTACGGTACATCGACAGTTGGCTCACATACTGTCGACATCGCTATCACGGAATGGTCTGAATGGAGCTACGTGGAGGCCGCCTTACTGGACAAACGAGATTGGCAAGCGAAGTTAATCACTCCTGCTAACAAGATCTCGTTGAATGACGACGGCTCTGCACGGCCGTTGTGCTTCAGAAAGTGCTTCAAGCTGCCAGATGGAGAGAAGATAGCCAGAGCAAGACTCTACATTACAGGCCATGGCGTTTACCAGGCATACATTAATGGCGAAGGTGTGGGAGATCAGTGCATGGCTCCTGGCTGGCAAAGCTATGACAAAAGACAGCACTATCAGGTCTTTGATGTTGCATCTGCTCTTGAAGCAAGCGAGGAAAATGTCATTGGCGTGGAGGTAGGTCCAGGTTGGTATGCTTCTGCTCTCTCGTGGGCTCAGCGCAGATTTACGTATGGCGACGAGCTTGGAACCTTGGCTCAACTCGAAGTCACCTCTCAGGATGGGACCAAGACCACGATCTGCTCCGACAACACATGGAAAAGCTTCACCAGCGCTATTACCAGCAGCGAGATATACGCAGGAGAAGTTTTTGACCAGAACATAGGTCGAGACCTGAACGGTTGGAACACTTTTACGGCCTTCAATGATCACTCTTGGTCGGCTGTCAAAACCTCACCACGGCCTACAGCAACCCTTATCTCACCAAATAGTGCTCCTGTTCGTATTACACAACGCATTATGCCTGCGAAAATCTTCAAGTCACCCTCAGGCAAGACTCTCATCGATTTTGGCCAAAACTTAGTCGGTCGCCTACACATCCGACGTCTTCGAAAATCAACCGGAAAGGTCATATTTCGCCATGCCGAAGTTCTTGAACATGGCGAGCTCTGCACGCGCCCACTCCGTGGTGCTAAAGCCACAGACACAATCATTTGCAACGGTGACGTTCTTGAAGACTGGACACCTAAATTCACCTTTCATGGTTTCCGCTATGTTGAAGTCACCGGCTGGTCTTCAACTGATAAGATCGAGCCGCTAACACCTAGAAGCCTGTTCGCCGAAGTAATGCATTCCGATATGCAACAAACTGGCTGGTTCTCATGTTCAAATGAAGATGTTAACAAACTTCACGAGAACGCCCGATGGGGAATGCGTGGCAACTTCCTCAGTGTCCCTACCGATTGTCCTCAACGTGACGAACGGATGGGATGGACAGGTGATCTCAATATCTTCACACCGTCAGCGAACTTCTTATACGACACAGCAGGGGTAGTGGGCAACTGGCTTGAGGATCTGTATGCTGACCAGATGGACGAGAGCGAATTTTGGAAGAAGGGCGTTGTGCCATTCGTAGTGCCAAATTGCATCCGAAAACACGAAGCTGACGATCCATTCTGGAACCCTACACCGAATGCTGTCTGGGCTGATGTAGCTGTAATGACACCGTGCGAGCTACATCAGACTTTCGGTGATATTGAGGTGTTGAAAAGGCAGTACGAAAGTATGAAGGCATATTTGCAGGATGGGATTAGCTATGGTGAGGATGGTTTGTGGGATGAGCAGCAATGTAAGTGTCTCCAGGCGCCTTCCACATTCCAAGCGATGTCACCAATGACAATAGATATGCATGTTGCTCTCGAGCTGTGACGATGAGCACTCAAGTTCAGCTTCTTTTGGAAGCTCCACGCTGACTGTATTCAGGGCAATTCGGCGATTGGCTTGACCCATCTGCACCTACGAACGATTCTGGTCGAGGTCGCACGGACGGCACCTACGTAGCGGACGCCTTCCTTCTACACGTCACTAACCTCATGTCGTTTATCTCCTCTACCCTAGACCGCCCAGCTGAGAGCAAAATCTATTCCACAACACACCAAAAACTGCAAAAGGCTTTCGCACACAAATACCTTACAGCTCACGGCCTCATAGCGCCTGATACTCCTACCGCTCTCTCCTTAGCCCTTCACTTCTCACTTATCCCCACCACAACGCAACGTCGCCATGCCGCCGCCCGTCTAGCGCGACATCTCCTTCTGAACCCATACAAGATCCCCACCGGTTTCGCCGGCACACCGTCCCTCCTCCAGGCGCTCACGCACACCGGGAATATCGACCTAGCCTATGCTCTACTTTTGGAGAAAGAGTGTCCAAGCTTTCTGTACCCGATCACTATGGGCGCTACTACAATCTGGGAGCGCTGGGATAGTATGTTGCCGGATGGGAGTGTCAATCCTGGCAGCATGACGAGCTTCAACCACTATGCGCTAGGTAGTGTGGTGGCATGGCTGTACAGTTCCGTTGGTGGGATCAGTGTATTAGAACCAGGATGGAAATCCTTTTTGGTTCGGCCTGCTGTGCCGAGACATGGAGAGCTAAATAATGCGGAGGTTGTGTTTGAGGGGCGCTATGGTCGAGTTGAGGTGAGATGGATGTTGCTGGACACGAGTGTTGAGGGCAAAGTGGAGAAAAACAGGAGAGTATCTAGCGAGTTTGCGGACGTAGAAGTGCAGACTTTCAGGTTGGTTGTGCTCGTGCCGCCGAACAGTCGAGCGAAGGTTGTGTTGCCTGACAGACAAAAAGCTATGTACCTGGAGGAGGGGGAGGAGAAGGAAGAAGCAGGAGTCTGGGTAGGTTCGGGGAGGCACGTATTTGACTGTTTGCTTGCGAAGGGCGGAAGACCTCCAAGACCGATGCTGCCGCCGTGGGGAGAGGATCCTTACTAGGGACAGTATCGGACAAAATAGTTGGTCAGAAGACGATAACTCAATGATTCTCGTTATGATCGTGGTAGCTGTCGGATCAGACGGTTCAACGCTGTTAGGAGTTTGAAAAATCCAGACTGCTGCCTTCCAAGACCTCAAAACTGAAGATTGGATACTACCTGTGAATCTGGACTAAAACACAGAGCTTCTCACGACAACAGGATGCTCGAGAGTGCTCGTAACAGATAACACTATGTCCATAACTCCTATCTCTAGGTGCTGGATCTCCTAATTCAGGGTGTCATATAGTCCAGGGCAAAAAAGTATATTCCTCCTAATTGAACCAACAAATCAACGTGCAAAAAGTAAATAAGCCACTCCACGTGGGACTCGAACCCACCTTCGCACAGGTTAGTGATATCTTCGAGAAGGATATTGTCCATTGTTACTCACAGCCTCCAGATTGGACTTCGTTTAGAAGTCTGGCGCGCTACCATTGCGCCAGTGGAGCGAAAAGTGACTGAACACTCATCTCGGTCTCACCTGAAGTTCAACCGTAATTTTGGACGTAAAATTTGGAGTCTAAATACTTGACCGGTGTGCTCACGTGATAGTCACACCTCTTTTTCGACCCGTCTTTAGACCTTCTAATGTTATCCTAGCTTTAATTTCAAACCACTGCTGCGGCGTCAGTTTCTGCCTAGTGGTAGAGTAGCTGTAGTCTGATACAAAGCCGCAAAATTAGATGCTTTTGGCAACCTCTTGTTGTTTTTCACGAACCAATGTGGCTCATAGATTTTGGAATGAAATACTGTTAGGCTTGAGCAGGAGTATTTGCTGCATCCTTGCTGCCGCCAGCTCCACCTGCGGACCGAGCACCCCCCGGAACAATAATCTCATGCTTTGACTGCGCATGCAAATCATCACTGGTGCCCTCCAAAGTCCTATTTCTAAGGGGTTTAATATCTTCTTCAGATATCCGCCCGGCGGCTGTATTACTATTTGTGTTTTCAACGCGTACACAATGTCGTGGTTCTCGTTTCTTTCAAACTTCAAACTTCCGCCTCCAGCAGACTCAATCCGGCCGCAAGCACAACCACAAGGGAAGCGCATCCTCGAAGAACAGCCGGCCCCTAACACACCGTCCAACATCCAACCTACGACTACCTCTGCTACATTAACTTCCGCCGAGTACGCCCAAATTCAAGCCGATGGCCGCCGTCGCAACAAACTCATCTTCGCTGCCGGCCTCGCCTTCTTCGGCCTCTCCATCATAACTACCCGCCGCTCGCTCATACGGCGGCGCCTCGCCTCGAAAGTCGCATACTACAAGGATGCGCCGACCCATCACCAGGAGCAGTCAAAGCAGGTCTCCGGCGCATTGGAAGCAGTTGAAGCGCTCAATATTGCGACGATCAATGTGCTGAGTGTAGCTATGATGGCGACAGGAGGCGCACTGTGGTATATGGATGTGAATAGTCTGGCGGATGCGAGAAGGATGATTAGAGGTGGGCTGGGAGTTGACGGGAAGGGAAAAACGGAGCAGGAAGCGGAGGAGGAGATCGAGGAGTTCATCGCGAGCGTGCTTGCGAGGAAGGATGAGAAGGAGGGGAAGAAGTGAAGAGCAGGATGCAACAGGTTGCATGTACACTTACCAGAGGCTTCAATACCATGTTTTCTTACGGCTAGGGGCTCTTGCAGGCAGCTCATGGTACTAGGACGATGTTCTCCGCTCAGATGGTCAACAGACAACTGTGGGGCATTCTTCACAGTTGAGCTTCTGTTGAAAGAAATGCTTCGAGGTTCTTATCAGTCTTCCTGCAAGACTGGATTCACCGGCCTATAAGTTGGTCGAACTAGAGAAGCACCATGGACGGAGCACGATCGGGAATAAGAAATGCCAGAAACAAGCGGAGGTGAGACCTGGATAGGCCACTGGATCTACATTGAGACTCCAGGAGGGGATTCCCTGTACACTATATCTGCTCCCATCAATTCAGAGGATACGAAGCAGGTCCAGTCATTCGAGATGGCGAGTCAATTTCTTCTCCACTCAGGTTTTGACTCTTAATGCGAGATGCAATTTCCACGATCCACAGATGGATGTACGCTTATTACATATCCTGGTTTGGAATCCAACATTGGAACATGACCAGAATACTGAGCCGCCATACGCAACCTGTTAACAACTGAAACCTATGCTACCACCTCCCTCTGATCTCACCTCAACACTGACATGGGCACTTCCCAAATCCACACCTCTCCAGGCATAAACCTCAGCATAACCCCTCTTGTCGTATTCCAAGTCGTGGCCTCTGACCGAACACCTGCCGCTTCCGCTTTCTGCATGGATCAAACCCCTCCAATCGTTCGGATAACTGATACTTAGACTTCCCGATCCCGTTGTATGGTGCTTCGCCTGCAAAGCACTTACGACTGCTCCACCAGAGGTATCAGTTGCGCTGGTTGAGATCGACACATTTTGTGATCCGGAACCAGTCGTTGTAGTCAAAGCACTGCGTAAATCATTCCCATCGGGTATGGTGCTGGCAGCATGCGCGTACTCCTGCTCAAGCTTCGATAGCGCTCGGGTGTTCACACCAGATCCAGTGGTGAGGAGTCGGACACCGATACTCCCTGAGGTCGTCCTGATGTGTGTCTCAGAGCCGGGAGTAAGAAGAAGATGCCCGCTCATACTCCCGCTCGATGTCTCAATCGTTGCGTGTATTACTCTAGCCACGAACCTTTCTTCTTCCACATCATTATCCTCCTCCTGCTGCTGCTGCTGCCCAGCCTGCTTCCGCGGGTCATCACATATCGGCATAGGTGGGGCCACAGTCTCACTTTCGCATCCCGATCTTCTACCGAAGCTCCACCATGGTGAACGGCTGCTGCTTGAGTTCTTTTTCGCTGATGAAGGCCAGCGTTGGGCGACATCGCATTGTTTGTCATCGACACGGATGCTCCCGCTCTTTGACTTTAGCCTCAGGATGGCAGGGTGAATGCCGGGTTTCACGTCCAACCTAATTGAGATACTGCCAGATGTGGTAGAGAGATCGAGGCTGTCACGGAGGGTGAATGTACCGTTAATGGAATTGCTGGTTTCGTGGCGGGAGTAGTGTCCATCTGGAATGTATGGTTGTAATTGAGGTTGGGCTGTCTGTGGCTGTAAAATTGGCACAATGGTATTTTGTTGGGAAGCAGCTGGCTGTTGGTGAGTAGGGATGTTGGATTGCTAGAAGGGACCTTATTAGCCTCACGCCCCAGGGCCGCAAAGTATACCGGACGGTATGTTATAGAACAAATTGGTGGGATTGCTTACAGTTCTTTCGGCCTCACTCGTAGCCGATTCATAAGTGGGCAATCCCTCATCAAGTCCTGCTTCGCTGAAGCCAGCAACAGAGGATGCACTGGGCGTCATAACCGTCTCACTTGGTGTGGTAGGGATGTATCTGTCCGCCCAGGAAGACTCCGACGCTAGTCTTTGGGCAAGCATTGCGGAATCCGAGGGTGACTTTGGTGTTGATGCTGCCGTCGCTGCTGCTATTGCCGTCGGGTGAGGTGACACTGGGGAAGAAATTTGGTTTAGATGGTCCGAGACCTCCTTGTCTCGGCGGGACAATTTATTCCTCGTCATTGTGTATATTCAAGGTCGAAATTGTTCTGCCTGAGGTACTAGAACGAGAACTAGTCCCAATTGGGACGGGGCTGTACGCCTGCTCGTTTAGCTGCAGAAGTTGGGTGGTCAGTGGCTCTAGCAATAAACTTCTAGGCAACACAATTCTTGTTGGGCGAAGCTTGAATGCGAGCGATAGACCTGCCGTGATAAGCTGGGTACTCCGGTAGACGCTATCAGTAACCAATGCGTTGACAAGGGCAAAGCAAGCAAAGAAAGGTGATGCCTAGGATAGAAGATTGCGTCACTGCTGAGAGAAAGCCTTGGCTGAGAATTGGTCGGCTTCTCGAGAGATGAGGGGTTTGGTATCAAGCTGAGGATACTATGTAGGATGTCATGAATTGTAGGAACTATACAAGTCGTCGTTCTGAAAGACTTCAACCCAAGAAGCATCTAAGCCCGTTATCGTATTGATGCGGGGTATGAGACTCAGATTCCTTATCTTATTCAAAAGTACGAGAACCTCGCTAGAGTTTCCTTTGTTCAAAAGTGTTCATAATTCGAGCAATGACCCACTGTAATTCCACCCGCCGTTGTCAGCCTCTCCTGCTTCGAAGCCGGTTCCAGAAGCTCAACTGGTGGCGTACGGGAGTGCACTGGAGCGAAGGAGTACTCGTACTTTCCAAAAAGTCAAGGATGCATACACTAGGTCGTGTTTGAAAGTCGCGGTGGGCAACGTGACGTCAATTCAGGATATACCCAGCGAAGCATTCGCCTTCGGAGTATTTGCTTTCTCCACGACTTTCTCCGACGATTGAAGGTCATCAAGTTCAGCAAGATTCCTAATCCTTGATAGCCGATTTTTGTTGATGAGTTCTCGTTCGCGCGCTGTGTTACTCGCAGGACTCAAGATCATGTATGTGGAATCTCGTCGCATTACTTCTTGGTTATAGGCGATATTGTGGACAGCGTCGCAAAGTGTGTCAATATCTTTAGCAGGCTTAGTTCGTAGAATTTTGAATATGTCAGTATGGTAACCTTGAACCCAGAACTTGGAAATACAGTGGTAAAGGTATTTCAATATCGCAAACCATCATGCACGGAACGGTCTGTAGATTTGACCTGTTTGCGATAAACTACAAGAGACATTATGAAGAAAAGAGAAAGAATACAGGAAAAAAGTGCCTCTGTATATCTGTTTGATTGGGAATGGTCTAGAACTGTGGTCAGTGAACTGATCTCTTTGTTCCTTGTATAAGTCAAGTTCGGATCCCTGGGCAGTCATGGATCTTAACAAAGACAGCTACTAAAGCGAAGCAGGTGGGACAAAGAAAAGCAGTTACACTGCACGCCATAAGTAGCAGCGCAAGCGGTAACACATTCGAGCAACGGTAAAAAGACCAGTATAAACTACCGTTATTACCAATCCTTTACTCGGAAAAGCGTACCTAATTAACATAAATTCATTTGTGTAGCATCCTTCCAACCAACACCGTGCTAAAGCATTTACTGTATTATATGGTAGTACATTGGTTGGGTTGACATATTCAACTTTATACTCGCTGGTCTTGAGCCGTTTCTCGCAAGTTTTGATGCCCTTCTTCATGCTTTAAAGGCAGAGACGCTTCCTCGATAATGCCGGTTGGGTGCTCTTCGTCAACAAGGTAATGACGACTCCAACCTTTTACCGTACTATGATCTTGTGAGGATGGAAGCATACTCGCAGGCATTTTCCACCCAGCCGGTGCAGATATCTCAGTCTTCTCGCCTGTCGCAGCATCGAGGAAATAGTGCTTCGCTGGAAGAACTTCGACAACTTTGATCGGCTGAACGTAGGTGTAGTAGTGATGCACATGAATGTCCCTTGAGATAGCCTCCTGGATGACTTCGGTCCT